CAAGGCACTTTTCCTCATATAGAGATGCAGAGTGTGTCGAGACTTTATCTTATTCGACTTACAGAAAACTTTACTCTCTCTATATTCTGTTATCAGCTCAGTTTCAGGCCCCTGTGTAGGTCTCACCCCACCCCGCCACATGTTATGTGAGCATGCAGGCCATGATATTAGCTGTTTTTAACACTGGACAGCAGATTAACATAGACTTCATTCTGAGGAAAGGTGCTAGTCGATAAGTTCTTAGATACTGTACAGGAACAAAATTTACTTGTTGTGACACAACTTAAGGAAGAGATGGACATCCATGAATTAGTAGAGTGTGACACTTTTTTACCTTTCATGTCAAGGTGAACTTGAGGTATTGTGTTTGGGATTATTTTGTCCAACTAACAACCTGAAAGTGTCAGATGGTAAACCTTAAAAAGCAGCACATTTTTCTTACTTGCATTAATATACTGGTGCCAAGTAATATTTTTTGATAAGACTGACTTATAGATGCACAGTATATAGCTGGCCTGTTACTGTACTTATGTTTCTCTTAGGCTAAAAATGCATGACTCATGCAGCTTGTACAACAATACAAATCACTTTGTACTGCATTTTCACAAAAACTGCTAAACAGACTATAGAAGGACAATGGTTGGGTACCTTGGTAAAGAAGTGATTTCTGTTGCTGTTTAGGTCTGAGCATTTGCACTAGTTGTGACTTGGCTTCACACACTGCTATTATGGAAACTGTATGAAAGAGAAGTGAAAATGATAGTCATAAGATTTAAAAACCAAAAAAGACCTTGTTTGGCTGTGTATGTGTTACAGCTGTGTTAGTCATGTTATTAATGTCAATCTAGTGCACATCTGTTCCTTCTGTCAATATTTTAGCCTATATTGGCTAACAGAGAACACATGGAAAGTGTTTTTGTTTTTTTTCTCCTGGTTTTTTTGTTTTTTCTTTGGTGTTTTTTTGCTGGATTATATTAACTTTGCTTTGTGGTTGATCTTGAATTTAACAACAGAACAGATTAATGAAAATAAGCAGGGTTTTTTCCTGGAACAAATCTATGTGCGAAAAACAAAAGTTGGCTTATTCTGCTATTTAAATGTGGACATTTAAAGTTTGCATCAAATACTTCTAGATAATTTACACTGACCATCATTTCTACGACCAAATGTCTCAGTGTTGGGAGCATGTGTGAGTAAGTGTAGTTTTTTTTTGTTTGTTTTTTTTTTAAATCCTGTTTTTCTTGTTTCCTGTTTGCCCCCCGCAGAGCAAATCTTCCAGAACCTCCGTCAGGAGTACAGCAGGATCCAGAGGCGGCGGCAACTGGAAGGGGCCTTCAACCAGACTGAGGCCTGTAGCTCCAGTGATGCCCCCAGCCCCAGCTCCACTCTCAATGCTCCCAGCTCCCCACCAGGTAGGAGACGTAATAAACTTGGTTTTCTGCACCATGATTTTTTTTCCCTTTTTTTTCCCCCCTTTCTGGTAAGCATAAAGACAAATAAATAAATAAATAAATAAATAAAACACACAGCTGCACAACACACTCACTGCACAATTTCAAGAAAGGCAGATAAACTGTTTCCAAGTGTTGATGAGAGATGTTGACTTCTGCGTGGGGCTGGGTGACTTGCTCCGTGCTCCTGTTGTTGCATAGAAACACGCTAACTTGAAAGCATACAGGAGTCAGGGCATGAGCTTCTTTACATGTAGCCATGCATGCCAAGATACATCAGTGTTGCAAGTGTTTGTTATATGTGGATGTTTTATAGAGGGGAAGATGGACTTAATTAATATCATTGTCAATAATATACTTTATCATTGGTGAAATAAGATAGCTTGCCAGTTTAGACAGTTTCTATCAGCGCCACGTTGACCATTGTTGATCGCCATCATCATCACCCTTTGACATAACTTTACTTCTGTCCCAAATCTAACCTGCTGCTGGTGAGTCACTCTTATCCACTAGATACGATAAAAGTTTGGGTGCACACAGAATACATGCATCATGGGCATATTATCCAAGTGCTGTTGACTGTAACATATGTGTTTCAGCTGGAAGAATTTTTTTAGATTAACATTAGATTATTTAAATACATACATAATTTAAAGAGACCTGTCATGTTATTACATGGTCAGGAGGAAAAAGACCCTTGTGACTTTGCACTATACAAATACAATAAAATAGAATTAAATCTGAAGCTCATAGAGCAGATTCACTAAAAGAGTTGACTTTCCCCCCCCTCGTCTGCTTTGTGCAGCTTGATGTGGCTTCCATAAAAAAAAATTGGCCCACTGCTATTTTATGTGATGCAATGCATCAGATGTGATGGAATTACAGGCATTGTTTCAAGTTGTTCCATTCAGCAGTGGTTACATTATCAGTTTGGTGCATAAAGTTAAAAAAAAAATAAAATCCCAGTGACTGTGTGTAATCCAAGCCTCAGGGCTTTGGGTCTGTGTGCTGTGTGACTCTATGCAGGATGACCTCGTAGATCACAATGACTGCACTGTTACTAACCTGGCCTCTTTCTGTCTGCGAGGCCACTGTTTTAACCTTCATCCCCACTCTGCCATCCTCCACTGTGACTTACAAACATTTTAGTCTATTTGGCTCATAGCAGACCTCAAAGACCACTTTGTAATGAATCACCGAGCTAAAGCCGGCTCCAGTTTGAGCCTGGCAGAGACGCTGGGGAGACTCAGAAAGAGGCAGCATTAGTGTTGCATGACCCTCCTGGTCTTTCTGAGGTGAGAGAGGACACAGAGCTGTAATTCTGCAGCCAGCTGAGCAGCTATTAGCTTAGAGAGGATGTTTCTGCCCATGACTGGGTATTGCACCATAGATGTGATTCTGCCGTATTTATTTATTTATTTATAGCTGATCTGATCTGATTTGTTTTGCTTTTTTCCTCAGGTGCCTCAAGGAAGGACCAGCCTTCGTTTACGCTGAGGCAGGTGAGCTACCTGTGTGAGCGCCTGCTCAAAGACCACGAGGAGAAGATCCGGGAGGAGTACGAACAGATCCTTAATACAAAACTTGCAGGTAAAAAAATCCTCCTTAATAATAAAATTGAAACAACTCTAATATGAACAGTGCCCTTTATATTCCGGGGATGATGTACAGTCAGTGTGACAAGCATTCGTCTTTAGTGTTTCTCAGATTTTCACGACGAAGCGTTTACAGTGTGTAGCTTCCTGGGAGTTTAAATGTGCTATTAAATCCCAAGATAAATATTTTATAACAGCTGGAGGGAACAAAGACATAAAGAGGATATAAAATGTCTTTTGGCAACAAAAGCAAATCTGCATTCATTTGACTATGTCTGCTTTAAAACGGTTAATTTAATAAAAAAAAAAAAAGTGCGCGCTCTGTTTTGACTCAGGCCTGAGTGTTTGGAGGGTTTATAAACTTCCAAATTCCAGCTTGGGCTTGTTGTATACAGGAAGTGAGATGATCTGCTACATATCACACATTATGTTTATTAAAAGCAGTGTTGACTGTTGCACACAAAAGTACGTTACTTCTTTTCTGCCTGTAAACGAAAACTTGTTAAGCTTGTCTTTACTTTTGCATTGCTCTGTGACATGGCCCCAGGTGCATTATCACATAGTGTGCAGCCCCTCACACTAACACAAATGCCTGTGCTAATGAGAACACACAGGGTCTTTGCTTTATCGAGGCCGAAAGCCACACAGAACAGTGTTGCAGGGGTCAGCAAACACTCTGCTTTAACATCACTCTGGGTTCTTGGTTGCTACGTTTGTACTGGCTTGCTGTCAGTTCTAGGAAAGTGGCAATGTCATTGTTAGCAGCTATTTGTGGTCTGAGCCAAACCGTTTGTACTTTACTGATATTTTTGTCCTTCCATTGAGTATAACTCAAAGTAATGTTTATCTGCGCTGCTCTAAAGTTGACTATTCCTCCTCCACATAACTACAGGGAGCCGATTGTAGCAGAGGTACACTGATTAAAACGGTGTCGGTGAGGTTTAGTAGTTCTACTGATGCTTTATTATGGACAGTTTTTATTAAGACCTGGAAATGTGATTGTGAATCAGTTTTCAGGTACTTAGCTTAATGAAAATGAAGACTCGTTCCTCCACCCATTTGATGTTTGCAGAATGTGGCACACACCCTCACCTCCATCCTCTTCTCTTTTCAGAACAATATGAATCTTTTGTAAAATTCACACAAGACCAGATAATGCGAAGATACGGAGCTCGACCTGCTAGTTGTGAGTACTGTTTTCTTTATTTACTTTGTTTTTAAGTCTGTTCTCAGTTAAAAAGGACTGCCTCTCTTAAAATAACAACTATTTTGTATTTCAGATGTGTCCTGAGCTCACATCCGTGTGATCCCGGCTTCCTCTAATAAGATGGCTGCTCTTCTACTGCCTCCTTCCAGTTGATTTACATTTTATTTCCCTAACATCGCCCCCTCGTCCCTTCTCAAACTGTTTGGGTGCCATGATTTATCCACTTTTTAATCCAGAAGTTGGTTTCTTACTTCAAAATTATTGCTGCTGGCCAAACTTAGAAAAGTGTGAGAGAAAGTCTGTATGAAGCCCGCTATCTTTTGTTTGTTTTGTTGGGTTTTTTTTTTTTTTCCCTTCTCTTTTATTATTTTTTTTAAAATATGCTTTTCTGGACTTCCTCACTAAAGCAGATGTTTGTTGAATCTCTTGCCAGCGCTGTAGAAAAAGCTTATTGGCTTGTGACCGTTCTGTATAACCTTCCAGCAGCTGTATCTACTGGCTCCTGCTTCTCACCTTGTCCCACTTTACTGTCCCCCCTTTCCCAATCTCCCTCCTCACAAAACTTACCCAAAATGTGGATTTTTCTCCCTTTTGAAAAAAATAAAAGTTCTGTGACTAAAACATGTTGTCTGGGTGTTTCTTTAAAGCTCCATATTTATATTAATAATGTGCACATTAAGCCACAACATCTCATCATAAGGTCAGTAATAGTTGCTCTTTTGTGACATGTTGACCATAAAATATGCTATTTTTTTTGTATCATCTCAAATGTATTTCTTTGCACACCTAAATGACGGGTTTGTTTTTGTTTTTTAATCTACGGTTTGGCTTGTCTTCCAAAAACAAAACAAGGGTTATAATTAAATGTAGATAAACGACTAAATTGGAATTTTATTGCTTTTGGTTTTGAATTTTCTGACATTTTGTACAGAAAAATACAGATGAGCTGTGATTAATGGAGTATAATTGATGAATTTAGCAAAAGACCTCTAAAATGAGTTCATCCATGCATAATAATAATAAAACCTATTTATGTTGAAATCTCGGAGCTGATGACTTGTTCAAATGGGAACTGTATGGCCATTAAGACTTGTTCACAACTGGTGTCTTGTCTACTGTAATCGTTGAGTCTAAAAATAATCCCGTCTATTAGCCTTATTTGCGTGCTGTAGCACCCCCCTGTGGTAGATTGGGAGAACTACAACCTCAATATTAAAGCGGGTCTCTGACCTGAGTGAAGTTTATTGACACTGATCAGTTTGAATGAGCCACGCTTCTACTCAAGAGTATTTTCTTTTCTATGTGTGGTTGGACGCTGGGGTGGTTGTATAGTGTTGGTCGGGATTAGGCCACGGCTCCTTGGGACGAAGCACTACCGTGTCTGTGACGTCACTGACCACAGGTGTGGTACGAGGGGAACAGGTAGGCTGTTTGTGCGCGGTTTGGAAACTTGGGATTTGTGGGGGAAAAAACACAGCTGTGCTGTAGCTGGGAAGAAGAAGGGGAGCATCGGGGTTTGTTTATGTCGCGTAGGAAGAAGGAAGCTTCCTGCAGGAAAAAAGCAATGAAAGGCCTATAATTATCAACAAGGGCTTAAGCGTTTTCTTTCAGTCTCTTAGGGAGGGTCAGTCTGAAGAAGGCAGCTCTGCGGGTCGCCCGAAAGCATGGCCGGACTAAGATAAACAGGGGGAGAAAAAACCCACAAAACATTGCTGTAGGTTACTGTTTAACTCCAGTTCTCACCGATCAGCTCTTTCATTCAGGACTTGCAGTCGTTTGATTTAGTTTGGAGAAGTCGGTATTTGTCTCTTTGGCACCGCCTGGAGCCATCTTCTCTCTTCCTGTTGAAGGTTAAGGTGAGTTAGACAAAGTTCGTGATGATCAGTTTATTTTATGTATTTATTTTACGCAGCTATCCAAGAAGATACGAGCGCGAATGTAATCCAAAGCCTCTTAATGCCGACAGTCACCGAGCCCTAAAAATCAGACTTCGCCCAGAAAACAGGAAATGCTACAGCACCCGGTAACCCTGCACTGTTACTGTGCTGTGAGATCAGTTGTAGGTCAAAATGTAGGCAACACGGAAGGAAGTGCCATAAAATAACATTATTAATAATAATAAATTAGAATCTCAGCCTATAGTCTTAAAAGTTAGTTTAATGCTTACAGTAACCTTCAGTGTATTTCATGTAGTTGAAATGCACGATTAAAGACGACACCCAGCTTCAGGCCAGCTCTTGTAAACAAGGCTGAAATAATCAGCTGAAACATAACTGATCTAAGTAAAACATTTCTTTAGTCAATTTTCTTGCGCACAACCCGGAGGAGGCTTTATTGAATATTGAATGTTTACTTGTTCTGGGACATGACTGAGAGTCAGCTGCCTTCACAAAACGATGTGTTTGTTTTGGTTCCTTTTTCAAAACCTGTTAAGTGTCGTGTCCCGAAAAACTTCCGGATATAAGGAGAAAAAACAAACCTAAATATTCCTCAATAATCGGAGCGAAACTGAAACAAGAAACTAGACCTTTAAAACGAAATGAAATCTAAAGAAGTCTGAGGGGGGGAAGAGAAGAGAATTATAATAATTGTTGGTGTCAGAGGAGAATAGGATCGGCTACTGGGTGTAAACAAAAATAAAAATGCAAAATGAAAGCATGGATCCATCTGGCCTTGTGTCAACGATTCAGGCTGGTGGTGGATTAATGGTGTGAGGGATCTTTTCTTGGCAATATGGGCTAAACTCGCAGAGGCAGGTGTTTCTAGCTCTGTGTGACAAAGAATTCAGGTAGTTATGAAAGCAAAAGAGAATCTAACAGAACGTGGCTGTCAAGACATAAATAGATGTGAAATGATCACATACTATTTATTAAATTAATTTCCATCCACATTTTAAAAGCTTAAAAAACAGCTCCCGCTTCCAGTAGTACTCAAATTTCTTTTACACTAACTTAGAATTCACTTTTAACTCAGGGCTGGAGCAGTGATGGCGGACGATGACCTGGAGCAGCAGGAGCCGTTTCCTGTGGAAACGGATGAGAGGCAGCCGGGGGATGAAGAGGAGCAACCGGATGGTGTCTTGGAGATGGGATGTTTTGAGAAGTTCCACCGTCTTGTCTCCAAATGGATGCTCCCAGAACACTTGCGCGAAAAGTACCTGGAACGTGCCAACTGCTTTCCACCCCCCATCTTCATCATCCTCATCAGTATTGCAGAGGTAGTTCTGCATATGCACACACTGATACTGTACAGGCACTAGGACAGTGATTTTGGTTTACATTAGTATTAAATACATTCAGGGTAACTGTTAATAGTACTGTTTTGTTGTTCTTTTGTTCTTAACTTATTTACTGTACAGTTCTTTGGTCCTGTGCTGGCTTTTTAAAAGTACTTTATAAATAAAGTTGGATTGAATTGGATAGGATAGCAGATATTAATGAGAAATTATTTGTGTCTTATTTGACCGTTTGTATATCTTTGAAAATGTGTGTTTTCACAAAGATGAAGCCTTAAACTGAGAAGCTTTGTTGGGCATTTCTTTCTTTCCATGTCTTTCAACATCTGCACCGCCTCCTCTGAATGTCCAGATTCATCAAGTCATTGTTATCAGTGAAAACAGCGGTAGCTTCAGGTTACACTGAGCTTCACTGCTGGGAGAAGCTTTTCCACAGAAAGCCAGTGTGTCTTTCATTCAGATTCAGTTAAATAAAAACATCCAGTGGAATTTGGTAGCTCATCAGTTGATTTACTCTGACCTCAAAGAGTTATTTATGATGTACATTATTAAGTCAAGGTTACAGGGAGTGTATTTAAAATCGCCTCTATGTTAAACACACATCACTGTAAGCTCTCATAGTGCCAATGTGAGCTCCTCTTTCTGGCTTTGTTGCCAGAACTTTATGGCTTCTGCCATTTTGATTTTTTGGAGCGGGAAGTGATCATATTTAGACAAGAGGGTGGAGTGCTAACCTGGGAGCTTGTTTACATACCAGCCTCAATTTCCGGGGCTGAAAATTAAAGAGCCACAAAGTGCCAAGAGGAAGACTTCCTCTACTTGGCCACATGTAACAAAGCTCCCATGTTAAAATGCCCAACTTTCATGTTTACAGCCTGGTCTGTGCAGATACTGTCCCCCGTTACAACAACACTAGAGGTGGTGAATTTCAGTATAACTCGCCTATCTGGATACTGGAGTTAGGCGTGTGGGTACTTTGATTGGCAGCTGTAGCTGAGTGGTGTTTGTTAGGATTCACCTTTGCTCCTTGAAGTCACTTAACTGGATCTCTTCACTTTTTTAGTGTCCTTTGGAGTATTTTTAAAGGCTTAGTTGTATGTGGCTTGCTGTGCAGTATAGATTGTCTGTTTATGCTTCAGTTTCTGTGAGCACATCAGGGCTTGTGAGATAACCAAGTCAGTTTTCCACTTGGTTATATTGTAATGTGAGAGCTGGTGTGAAGCCTGTTGCCTCTGTTTGCATGTTGCCTTGTTCAAACTTAGGAATGAACAGCTCTCTTTGTGGCTCACAGATGTCCAGTGTTGCTGCATTTGAATGCCCATGGATACTTTCTCAGCATGTTGTTGCTTTATACTCATAGAGATAACCATGTAGACTCTTTGTATCATCAGACTGGGAGGAGTTTTGAGGTCAAGTTAGTGGGAAACATGTCTCTGTAAAGCAAACCTCAACATCTGTATGTCTAATTCCCTCATTCTTTTGTTTTTTTCACAGCTATTAGATTTAGCTTGACCCTGATATCTTTTCTACAGTGTTTTAGACTCTCATACTTCATGTCTAATGTTTTGTATCCACCCTATTTCATTCATCAGCTGGCTGTATTTATCTACTATGCTGTGTGGAAGCCACAGAAACAGTGGGTGACCCTGGATGAAGGCATCTGGAACAGCCCTTTAACCTACAAGCCTGAATGCCGGAACGAGGCATGGCGCTTTATCTCCTACATGTTTGTCCACGCCGGGTAAGCATGGGTAGAGCTTTTAAATATGTTAATTACACGAGTGAGGCTCTAATCAGTGCAAACCCCCCCCAGAAAATTTAAAAAAAAAATGTGGATAAAACTCACTCACGGGTGGTAATTAAACCCAGCGGTCACTTTTGAGATTGCAGGTTTTGCCTAAAGCATCCTGTCTTGTGTTTTTTAATGTTGAGCTTTTAGCTGCAGCAGTAGCCCTTCAAAATTACTCACCACAGAGGTGAGTAATTTTTCATGAAGATGGATAACTAATATTATCCCAGCTGCCATGGGGTGAGAATGGGGGCACACCCTGGACAGATCAAAGGTTTATTACAAGGATAGCACAGAGAGAGGCAGACAGTCACACCTCCCACACCTACAACCAATTTCATTTTGAGCCCCCCCCCCCAAGAGGAAACCAGTGCAGGCACATGGATAGCATGCAAACTCAAGTTGAGCTTCAGGTCATGTTAAAGAGTTGCATGGAATCTTGGTAGTAATTGTCTGGCATGGCTGTAAAACCACTGCAAATGTACTGGATGCAGCAAGAAAGAAGTCATTAGTGCATAAGCTGCAGAAAGACCGGAAAACCAAACATCATGACTCCACAGGAAAGCTATTAGCAAAGAGGAACAACAGTCTAACCAGCTCTGACTGAAAAAAACAAACCCTAAAGCTTAAGGCGGGTGATATTCTGTAACAAAAACCTCTGAAAAGACCAAAAGCAACAATGAAGTGTATGCTGTGTGTAGACAAAATCATATAGAGCTTATTGCCGCGGACACTCTTATTGTCCAAAACTATTAAAAATACTTACCTGAGGTGTGTTGTTGCCCTGGCTTTTTCCCCCCCATGAATAAACGCACTGTATATTGCTTTGAATCTGGCCTGCAAACTGCTTTAGTATCCTTCTGGAACAATGTGCAGAAACAAACAAACCAAGTTTAGTCTCTTAAAGTAACATTTGTGCAACTGATTTACTAATAAAACCAGTTTAAACAGGCTTAACACTTCAGAATGAGCGATCTAAAAAAGAACTGTCTGTGTTCATGCTATTTTGTCCATCATGCTGTCCTGCATCTCAATGGCCAAGAACTTATTGCCTACTTTGTATTTTCTAGTGTGCAGCACATTTTGGGCAACCTGTTGATGCAACTGGTGGTAGGAATCGCACTGGAGCTGGTGCACAAAGGATTTGAAGTGGGGATGGTTTATCTTTCTGGTGTTCTTGCAGGTGAGAATTACCTTTTTTCTTTCACCTAACAGCCTCAAAACAGAGAACCACCTGCTGGTGGAATACTGAAAGAGGATAGAGGACACACAAAGTGCCATGATGGTTTGGTCTGGCTTTAAATTGGATTGCTGCTATGTCCCTGAGGCTAATCTGGGACTATCGTCCAGTTATAATTGTACAAGTCTGGCGGGGCCAAGCCAAAGCATCACGATGTCTACTTTCCTAGGCAGTATGGCAGAGACGGCTCTGTCCATGACCCCAGTCCTCTGGGACTAACTACCAGATGTCAGCAAGCCTCCCTTCCTGAGACTCAGCCTTTCTGAAGTTAATTTTCCTGTTCATGTTTGTGTTTGAGTGTTAAAGCTGTGGATGTTTCTCCCTTAGGGTCTCTGGCCAGTTCCATTTTTGACCCTCTCAGTGCCTTGGTGGGGGCTTCTGGGGGTGTTTATGCCCTACTCGGTGGTTACTTCATGAACGCTGTGGTGGTAAGTTCATCAGCAGTTCATCAGGAAATCTGTATTTTCTTTTCATGTGACAATGCAATATAGTGTAGGTAGTAAAGAGACATGATCTACAGGTTAGTCTTGTAGGTAAAGACTAGAAATTGAAGTAAGTAATGTTGAATTTTGTCAGTGCATATGCCCCACAGGTTGGGTGTCAGAAGAGAAAGAAGAATTTGGGAATAAGTTGGGTGAAGAGATTTAAGTCAGAGCGGTAGATATTGGTGATTGGATCAGGCTTGATTAGATATATAGCTGAAGGGAAAAGAGGTGAAGTGTTCATAGATGTGGTATCAAGGACAGAAATGCAGAAAAACAGATCGTGGTGGATTTTGCAAAAAGGATGGAAATGGCTGTGGTGAATACCTACTGCAAAAAAACAACAACATATGAGTGGAGGAAGGTGCACACAGGTGGACTGTATCTTAAGCAGAAGGTGCAATCTGAAAAAGAGGAAGTAGTGTCAGGGGGAGAATCTAACTAGAGATGGCACGATACCACTTTTTTATGTCCGATAAGATACCGATATCATAAACTTGGATATCTGCCGATACCGATATGAATCCGATATAGTGTTTTTTAATCAACAAAACTGTTTTTTAAAATATCTTGCTGCATTTTGCAAGTCTGCAAGTTCATACTCAAGTTTAAAACAACAACTACACTAAAGCTATTCTGTTATACCTGTATACAAAAAAAATATTTCATAGTTCAGCAATACTGATCAATCTAATAAACTTAGACCTACACCATCCTCCCTATTCTGGTATTTTAAAGAGTACTTAGCGTAAATATTAAGCAACCTAACTAATAGGGTTCCAACTCCCAGCAACAACAAAAATAAATAAATAAAAAATAGGGAACCACCCCTCACGCTCCACCTCATGATGCTTAATCGACGTAATCAACCTTAATTTGATGCAGTGTGAAAAAAAAAATGCACAGAAATCAATTATTTTTCAAGAAATATTAAATAGATTCAACATCTTTCTTCAACAAAATTGCAGACTGCACAGATGGTACCTTCCCAAAGGAAAAAGTACTATAGCTTACTAGGGTATATATATTAGACTTAATAGTTACTATATACAGTAATTGACTTCTATTCATTTTACATCAAATTAAAACTTTGGGTGTAAGATTTGGATAATTATTTATTAAAAGCTAGACATTTTAAATGAGAATAAGAAAGAAAAGTATGTCTTTGTGCCCCCTTTTCCCTGTTAATGCCCTATCGGCCCCCCTGGCTAAACTTTGCTAGATCCGCCCCTGCACAGTTACCAGCCGTCAGCTACGTAGAAAAAGATCCTGGTGTAGAAAGTAATATTAAATAAATTCTAACAACAGCTTATCAAGCTTAAACGTGCTGCTGTTGTTCAGCCGCTGGTTTCCTCTTTCTGGTGCAAAGTGGGCCAAAAACAAACAAGAGAGACGGACTCGCGACAGAAAAGCCGATCAGCTGATCATTAAGCAGTTTCATGATTGAAGTAGCAGCAAGAAGAGGCAGTCGCTCCATATATCGTTTGTTAAGCTTAACGCAGGAATGCTTTACAAACATTCAGAGATGGACTTACACACTTGCTTTACTTCTCTCGGGGATAACTTTGTCGGAGATGAAATGCCGGGTTGCTAGCGAAGCTCCAAATGCTATCCAGACCACCGACAGGTCCCGCATGCCACAGCCGCTCTATCACGTGATGCATACTGCTCCGACGTGCTAACGTTCTGAGGCGAGTTACGGCGTGTTGCAAGTTTTGTGAGGTGCTTTCGTGATATTTAATGGATCGGATTACATTTTTTATTTTTCTCCGATATCCGATCCAGTAATTTAGGTCAGTATCGGACCGATACCGATACGTAATATCGGATCGGTCCATCTCTAAATCTAACTGGGCAACATTGGATGGTAGTCTATAGGATGACTTTGGAAATCAACGAGAGGAAGTGAGTGATGTGTTCATAGCAATAGTTCGCACAGCTTGTTTAATTAAAGGGGAACTATTCTGTTCTTTTCCTTTTCCATGATTTTGTTGTTGGATGCAGTGGTAGTAACTTTACATAGTGAACAGTGTAAATTCTTTTTAGCCCTACATTGGGCCTTAGGACAGTCCCTTAGTTCATCCCCTCTTTGAAACAAGCCATTTTAGTTTCAGTCCTTTTAAGGCAGCTTTCTTATCACTGGCTGACCTCTGCAAACAGAGCGTTTGTGCTAGCTACTGACAGCCACTGCTGTCTGCCTGAAATTACCACATTCAAGTTATCAGCTTTCATTTTACATCATACAAAAAGTGGTCATGATGAAACAGAGCATTTAGAGGTCTGGGAATGCTTTTGGCTCATAAGGATTATTTGTACATGTGCTGACCTCATTAGGTGAATCTTTATTTGATATTAGCAATTAAATTTTTTATGACCAAAAATAGAGAAAAACAAAATAGCTGTACATTTACATTTCTGATCATCCAATGCCCCTTTTACTTACAAATATATGGCAGATGTAAATTACTGTGTTAAGTTTAAATCTAAGTATTGATCTGGTGTTTGCTTCAATCTACAGAATTTCAGAGAGATGATTCCTCTCCTTGGAGTGTTTCGTATCCTCTTCATTGTGGTCTTTGGTAGGTTCTCCTAGCTGTGTTTTGGCCTGTTTGTGTTTTTGTACCTGAGGAAATTACCTTCAGAAACATTTGATTTAAAACTGTCTGCTTTTTCCCAGTTGGTTTAGATTTCGGGTTTGCCTTCTACAGAAGATTTGTCAAGTATGAAGATGGTTTACAGGTATGATTTTGCTGCTGCTGTGCAAAAGCCATAAACAAACAGGGCCTTTTGTTAATCTCCTCTGACACAGAAGATGCCTCAAGACAGATCCAGCTAAGTCAGCTAACCTCCCCCAGCAGCAAGCTTGTTTTGTGATAGCATTACTTCCTTGTGGCTCCAGACGAGCTCAGTAGCTCTTGCTGAAACTTGATTATTCATGCCGATACGCGCTCCTCTGTGCAAAGCATGCCAAAGCTTTCCACACAACCAGAACACAACCTTTTTATTTGGTTATTAAACTGGTCTTGCAAGTTTTCTGAGTCGCTTTCCAGTGGGGGTGGGGGGCAGTAGCTTGACTACATTGTAAATAGGGTGAAAGACTAAATGTCGTCTTTCCTCTTAGGTGTCCTTTGTTGCTCACTTTGGAGGAATTGTGGCAGGGATGACCGTCGGCTACGTCTTCTTCAGTGCTTACAATGAGAAGCTACTCAAAGACCCACGTTTCTGGATTTGTATAGTGGGCTACACAATCTTTGTTCTCTTTGCTGTGTTCTTCAACATCTTCCTTTCTCCAGCCCCGTAGGAGCATGAAGCTGCACTCAGGCCCTGTTTTAAACTCTAAAATTCTTGTGTCACTCAGGAAGCTGATTTTTACTGATTTGTTGTAGAGAACAGTTACTTTTTAGGGACCCGAACATTGACCTGTTGTGTTTTTAGCCTTTTTTTTTTCTTTTTTTTTTACTTTGAGCTCTCTTCAGGGCTGAATTTGTGTGAAATGGCTCCTCCTGCTGTTTATGTGTAGTGTTGCTTTAAGGCTATGCAGATGAAAATGTGCCCATTGAAGCATTCATTTTGAACATGATGGGGCAGTTATGTATGACTTAATTAACATATGTGGTTTACTTTTTCCTTGTGTGCTTTGTTTTGACTTTCTGTATTTTCCACTGTGTTCTTTTTATTTGGATCATCGAGGACTGCCATTGATCCACTGTTCATAGAAAAGTTTCTTACACTGCTTAAAAACACTATGCACTAGAAGAAAACATCATATTAACATATGACATCACATTTTAAGAGAGTTTTTATACGTGACAGCCATAACTATATGTTTACACTGATGTAATGACTGGAAGAACAGGGTGAGTGTCCTTAATGTGTCTTCTTTAGCTATGAAGCCGCTTTACTATCAAGCATGTTTTTTTAGAAATGTACTTTTTTTTTAACAAAAAATATTTTTTGTTATTGAAACTGTAAATTATCTAAGATTGTGTGTAAACTATGACAAAAAGACCAAACAGACCTTCTACACTGTGTTTTCATAAATAAGTCACATTTGTAAATATTTTTTTCACATTAAATATGGAACTTCTGAAGATTTATTTTGTGTTCCACTTGGTTAAACCTGGTTTTGATCAGGTCCGCTGGTGGTATGCATTTACATATTCTGCTCTCTGTGTTGCAGATGTTGTTGTGGGGTAGAGTCACCATCCCTCCTTAATAGCACCATAGCCTGGGTCAGATATAGATACAGCTAGTAGGTTATCTACTAATAAGTAATCTGATTTAAACGTTTCTGGGTAATAAAGTGTTGGAATTAATCTCCCATTTATGTGCAGATGCGTGATCAAAATTATGGTTTTTAGAGAATCATTTCTGAAAAGTTCTCCCTTTGACATATTGGAGATGTACTGAAGTTTCTCCTCAATAAATTAAACGAGATCAGTCTCATACAGCAGCAACCCCACCAAGAACAGTTACAAATATGACCAGCAGAGGACGCAGTGTGCCACACTACTCAGTAATGTCTAAAAAACAGGATAGAAACAAATATACAGACAGCTCCAGGAAACAGCTGCTTATATGGCAACTAATCTGCATCTGTACAGACAGTAAGTAAAAAACAGGTTTAATAAAAATAATAAATTTAAAAAAAAAAAGCTTAATCTTCATTTGATAATTAAAGCTAAGCACAGAGTGAAAAATCCAGTCAGAAACATCACAAAACACAGACATGAGCTACACTAGATGTAAACATTTTGTCAGTACCACCTCCAGTGGGAAACCTATTTTATTTCAGGCCAAAGTCAGCAAAGTATGTTTTGGCCCAATGCAGGCACGCCTATTCTTACCTAATGCACTAATATGTGTGATGCTAATATGTTTTTGTTGCAGTTTTGATAGAAATAAATGCAGAAACAGGGGGGGAAAAGTTTGAAAAAAATAAGCCCAAATAAAATTAAAAGTATAAATATTGCATTACTTTAGTGTTTTTTTAAAGCTCTGCTACATGTGGAGAAGTTGCATTAAGATGGATCAGGGACTAATATTGCTAAATCTCACCTGATTGTTGCGGTTAAATGTAATGTGTAGAAATAAGCACATCTGGGAAATTAGCACACTGACAACATCGATGTGCAATTCAGAAAACTGCTGAAGTTTAGAGTTGCCGGTCTCAGGTTCGCCTGCTGCTCATGTTACCACTGATGTTTCTTAGTTAGAGGAAAGCAGTCTGATTTATCCCTCAGTCATGCGACGATGCTGGGGCAGAGGACTCAGGTTGGTTTTGTGCAATATTTTTGATACTCTGCTTACATTTGGCACTCTATATGAATCTGTGCCAGCACTCTTATGTTTAAAAAAATTAAAGACTCATTAAAAAAAAAAAAACCCACAGCATCCTCGATCCACCTACTGACATCGAGCATCCGAAAGACGAAGAGGATGGTGAGACAGATTTTCCTTTGGAAGTGGAATGAATATGCACCAGCTCTAAAATCCCCCAGAGGAAGTTCCAGCCTCTCAGCTTCACTCTGCCACAATGACTGATAGTAATTCAATAACAGAGAGACATTAACCAAGTAAAAGCAAAGAAAATCTGCTGAATTAGTCCAAACGTCAACATTTCCAAGGATAAAATTTCACATTTGGAGAAAATGGACAGCAAAGATGATTTCAAATATATGGCAGATGTGATCTCTGGACAGGTCGTAACCCTCTTCAGCAAATCATCATATGCTTGAAATCATCTTTGGAAATGCAGCTTTCTGCAAACGTGATGTTTTCTCCTTGTTAACATTTCATTTTGTTAAGCTGAGATATATTACATCTTGACAATACCACTGTTAACTACCCAAAAAAAATTTATACTGTGCACCATTAGTCTAAAATACTGCTGCTAATGTTGCTGTTTGAACTAATTCAGCAGATTTTCTTTGCTTTTATTTAGTTACTGTCTCTCTGTTATTGACTTACTATCAGTCATCGTGGCAGAGTGAAGATGAGAGGCTGGAACTTCCTCGGGGGGGATTTTAGAGCTGGTGCATATCCATTCCACTTCCATAGGAAAAATCTGGCTCACCATTGTCTTCGTCTTTAGGGTGCTTCCCCTTATGGCTGCAGTCGAGCATGTGTGGCTCAATGAGCATGCTGACTTTCTCTCCAATACCAAGCAGCCTGGGTGCAGTAGATCCACTACTGGGTGCTGCAGACCATTTTTGGGTCTTCTCCCTCTCTGGTTTCCATGGGGCACGCTCTTGATGGGCTCTGGATACTAGAGAAGGGATGGCAGAAGAATAAAGCTCCCCTCACTCCAACCGGTCGCGGCAGATGGCCGCCCCTGCCTGAGACTGGTTCTGCTGGAGGTTTCTTCCTGTTAAAAGGGAGTTTTAGAGCTCAGGATATAGCTTCCTCCAACTACGAAACATTAGTGGTAACAGCAGCAACAAACGAATCTCAGATCTGCAAATCTAAAAATCATTACAGGACACAGCGGTCCAGCCTATAAATGCGCTCCTTTTACATTGAGAAACTTTACACCAGCTGCTTTATTTTTATTATTTTTTATTTATTTAGTAACTTTAGACATGTCTGCACTGGGTAGACACAGGTGAGCTGTGACAACGGTGCTTTGGCTGTTTTATTCATTTAAACCCTCCTCTACCAGTCGTTTAATTTGCGGATTTCCAGAAAAAAATATTGTTAAACAGAAGAACATCTGATTGGAAGTTTTCTAATGTAATTTCAGGTTTCACAGCATCTGGACTGGATTTTAAATCTCAAATGACACATTACTATAAGCACTTATCTGAACAAAAACAATACTGTCAGTTTTCTTTGCCCGTTTCACAGTTTTGGTTTTTGTATGCACTTGAAGAAATAGGTTTTTAAGTGTGGAAGAAAGCCTAATGTGCTCTGGTCCCCAAGGTCTTTGTGCTTGGTGTTTGTTTTTTTAATGTGTTTTATATCTGGTTTCTTTCAGCAGGTGATTGAGGATGTGTGTTAATGAGCCTACAAAGCTCTAAATGACCACAGTAACTCTGTTGCATTACAGAACTCACTGATTGTTTGCTGTAAATAAATTGATTAAAATTGGAAAAAACAAACAAACAAACAAACCAAAAAACACACCAAAAAAAAAACAACAAAAAAAAAAAAACAGTGATTACAAGGCCATGTTTTATTTTAGATGTGATATATTTTTGTGCACCTACACCAGATTTTTGTAAATAACACACACATACATTGATCAGTGTGTGTCCTCTTAACAAGACAGGAAAGTAAAACAAACAGCTTAATGACTACTGTCTATTACTAACCCACTCGTCATGCTGAAAGTCAGTTTCTACTATAAAGCTATACTAAAGACTAAATGAACCAAAAAAAACCAACACTTATATACATTCATGTACAAAATAAGTTAAATCAAAAGTAGTAAAGTAGAAACTGCGATTTATAAAAAAGACA